GGTTACAACAATTGTATTTTCGCGTACGGTCAGACGGGTTCCGGAAAGTCATATTCGATGATGGGTTATGGGAAGGAGTATGGTGTGATTCCGAGGATTTGCCAGGATATGTTTCAGCGTATCGATGATATCCAGCGGGATAAACAGCTTGGTTGTACGGTTGAAGTGTCGTACCTGGAAATCTACAACGAAAGGGTTCGCGATTTGCTCAATCCATCGAATAAGGGGAATCTCAAGGTCCGTGAGCATCCGTCGACAGGTCCGTATGTCGAAGATCTGGCCAAGCTTGTTGTGCGCTCGTTCGATGAGATTGAGAATTTGATGGACGAGGGTAACAAGGCGAGAACGGTTGCCGCTACGAACATGAACGAAACGTCCAGTCGTTCGCACGCCGTCTTCACCCTGACCCTTACCCAGAAACGTCATGACGCCGAAACATCGATGGACACGGAAAAGGTATCGCGAATTAGTCTGGTCGATCTTGCAGGTTCCGAAAGAGCAACATCCACAGGAGCCACGGGAGCCCGGTTGAAGGAAGGTGCCGAAATCAACCGTTCTTTATCTACTCTCGGTCGTGTCATCGCAGCGCTTGCAGACGTGGCCGCCGGAAAGAAAAAGAACGCCTCCATGGTTCCGTACCGTGATTCGATCTTGACATGGCTGTTGAAGGACTCGCTGGGAGGAAACTCCATGACCGCGATGATTGCTGCAATCTCGCCGGCAGATATCAACTTCGAAGAAACGCTGGGTACCCTCCGTTACGCAGACTCCGCGAAGCGAATCCGAAACCATGCCGTTGTGAACGAAGATCCGAATGCACGTATGATCAGAGAATTGAAGGAGGAACTACAACAACTCAGATCGAAGCTTGGTGGAGGAGCGGCTGGTGCTGTTGGTGGCGTCCTTCCGGCTGGTGCTGCACCGGGGGCTCCTGGTGGTATACCTGCTGGTGAATACTATCCTCCTGAGACACCGTTAGAACAACAAGTCGTGTCTATTCACCAGACAGATGGCAGCGTGACCAAAGTCAGCAAGGCGGAGATTGTCGAACAACTCAACCAGAGTGAAAAGCTCTACAAGGATCTGAACCAGACATGGGAAGAGAAGATGCAGAACACGGAAAAGATCCACAAGGAACGTGAATCTGCCTTGGAAGAACTGGGTATCAGCATCGAGAAGGGGTTTATCGGGTTAAGTACCCCGAAGAAAATGCCTCACTTGGTCAACCTGAGTGACGATCCGCTGCTTGCTGAATGTCTGGTGTACAATATCAAGCCTGGTACTACGACTGTCGGACACATGGACCAAGGGAATGCTGTTGAGATCAGGCTGAATGGGTCTAAGATCATGTCCGACCACTGCAAATTCGAAAACGCGGACAACATTGTCACTCTTGTCCCGACTGAGGGTGCAGCGGTTATGGTCAATGGCTTGCGCATCGATAAACCTAAGCGTCTGAAGAGTGGTTTCCGAATCATCCTGGGCGACTTCCACATTTTCCGATTCAACCACCCGCAGGAGGCTCGTGCGGAGCGTGTCGAGCAGAGCTTATTACGGCATTCCGTCACTAGCAGCCAGCTTGGCTCTCCGGCGCCGAAGACTCATGATCGAAGTCAGAGCAAGACTGGTTCGGAGCACGATGGCGACTCGAATAGGGCTGAATCCCCCTTGCCCTCGCAGCGTGGTCGGGAATCCGACTGGTTCCAGGCGCGTCGAGAAGCGATTAGCGCAGCGATGGGACCGGATCAAATTTCACATATGCCTGATGATGAACTAGACGCTCTGTTCGAAGACGTGCAGAAAGTGAGGGCGACCCGTCGGGGGCTGATGGAAAACGAAGAAGATTCCGACTCGCTCAGTTCGTTCCCGGTTCGAGATAAGTACATGTCGAACGGTACTATCGACAATTTCTCCCTTGACACCGCCATTACGATGCCAGGGACGCCCCAACAGCAAGAAGACGAGGGGCAGAATGGTGATTCGACACTTCACTCTGTGCGCCAGGATATGCAACGCCAGCTGGATCGACAAAAGGAGGAATACCAGGATAAGCTGAAGAACGCCGAAGCTTCGTCCAACCAGGACGTTGATGACGTGCGGTCTGAAAAGGTCCGGATGGAGGAGGCTCTTCGCGCGGCTAAGGAGGAGTACGAAGAGCAGCTGAGGAAGCAAAAGGAGATATTTGAGTCGCAGATGAAGGATCTAGGCAAGCCGGTTCCGCCAAAGATCTACGAGAATGGCTTTGCCAAGCTGGAGCCCGAGGAGATTGAAACGGCGCGTACCGTATATCACCACTGGTCGCAGCAGAACTACGTCCGTATGGCAGAGAAGATACTACAGTATGCGTCGCTGCTGAAAGAGGCGCAGGTCATGAGCCAGATCATGGACAAGAATGTTTCGTTTCAGTTCGCCGTTGTCGACCATGGGCATAATATGGCATCTTCTTACGATCTTGTGCTGAACGGGATCTCTGGGGACGAGGATTTCGTGTTGGATGAAGCGAAGAAGCCCTGTGTCGGGGTTCGTGTTATCGACTACAAGCAATGCGTTATCCATCTCTGGTCAATTGAGAAACTCCAACGTCGACTGCAGGCGATGCGTCAGTTACATCAGTACATTGATCGCCCGGATTATATTCAGCATTTTAAATTGGATAATCCGTTTTCTGAGCCTTGTTCGCCGCGTTACTCGCTTGTTGGTGATGCCGATATTCCGCTTACAGCTGTCTTTGAGACTCGTGTCCAGGATTTCTCCGTTGAAGTCACTTCGCCGTATACACAGAGTGTCGTTGGTATAATCAGACTGTCGTTGGAGCCATCTTCTGCCCAGGCACCGTCGTCCACCCTCAAGTTCAATGTCGTCATGCGGGATATGGTCGGTTTCAACGAATGGGAAGGATCTGATGTCCATGCGCAATTGTTCGTACCGGGGATTTCCGACGAAGGAGGCGCTACTACAACGCAGATGACCAGCGGCTTTGACGAAAGCCCCGTCCGGTTCGAAAGTGTGCATAGCATGAGCTTACCACTGAACAGCCCACGGAGCGCCGCGCTGAAAGTCTGCGTCTATGCTCAAGTTACGCAAATGCACCTGGACAAGCTTCTAAGCTGGGATGACATCCGCGACTCAGCCGATCCTGGTACCCAGAAACGCAAAGCGCCTCGTATCGCCGAATCGGAATTCTACTCGGAGGAAAGACATGACGTCTTTGCTCGAATCCAGATCCTCGAGTTGGCGGAAAACGGCGAATACCTCCCTGTCGAGGTGGTACAGAACAACAGCTTGGATGCGGGCACATATCAGCTTCACCAAGGTCTGCAGCGTCGTATCTCGATTAACCTCACGTATAGCTCGACCGAGAGTCTTCCGTGGGATGACCTCCGCAGTATCCGTGTGGGATCTGTTCGGATGCTTGATCCTTGGGGCAAGATTCCGGACCAGGACCTGCAGACTCCCGATGTGCAGTTGAAGTTTGTCCAGGAGCCGACGGTGAAGGATAATGCTGACGGGACGTCTAACGTTACGATCGTGGGGCAGTGGGACTCGAGTTTGCATGGCTCGCTTCTTCTCGACCGTGTTACTGCGGATAAGTACCGTGTGCAGGTCACCGTCCGCTGGGACCTGATATCGTCGCGGTTGCAGGACCCCGTCGTATTCGAGGTCGACCCGATGATCCAGATTCAAGGACGGACGTACGTCCGCCCACAGTCGATGTTCAAGCAGCTCTTCAACACAACCCGCATTGTGCACTCCACCGTCCGCATGTTCTCCTTGGCCGTCCGACCCGTCTCCGCCAAACGCGCCGCCGACCTCTGGCGCATGAACACCCAAAACGACTACGTCAAGGGCGAAGACCTCCTAACAACATGGTCCCCGCGCAAAGTATCCTTAGTCAAAGACTACCTCGCTGCGCGCAAGCGCCGCCAACGCATGGCCGAACTCAACGCCGCAAAGGGAGCCCTAAGCGCAGTCTCTCTCGTCCCCTCGTCAACAAGAAACAGCCGCTCACCCCTCCGAAGCCAAGAACTCACCGACCGCAAAGTAAACCTCCTTCGCAAATACCTCGACGTCTGGATGACCAAGACAGACCCCACAGAAGCAATACTCGTCCGCACAAACACCGAACCCCCAGCAGGAGGAGCAGCCTTCGCCCAGACAAAGCACTCCGTGTCACGAGACGGCAGCAGCACAAGCGGCGACTCAGCAGACCAACAACCACCCCTAAAACCACGCTTCATCGTAACCATCCAAACACTCCCCAAGAACCCCTCCTCCACTAAATCGGGCTACATCCTCACCCCCGACGACACAAATAGCCACTGGGTGCGCCGCTTTGTTGAGCTCCGCCGGCCCTATCTCCACGTCTACAGCGTCCCTGAAGGCGATGAGATTAACGCGATCAATCTGCGGAGTTCTCGTGTTGATCATGCGCCGGACTTCGCTCGTCTGCTGGGTACTGCTGGGAGTGGCAGTGGGTCGGGGACGCCGTCGAGGGGCGGTGGTAGTCAGCCGAATGTGTTTGCGATCTATGGGACGCAGAATACGTTCTTGTTTGCGACGAGGACGGAGGCGCAAAAGGTCGAGTGGATTTTGAAGATTGATGAGAGTTATTTTAGCAATGCTAGTCCCGCGAGGACGTAGCTGCTTCCCTTGATCATGAACTCGAAGAGGTCTGAAGAAGGAGGGAGAGGAGGAGTATATAATGCGAGTTTACGCCGATTATTACGAGAAGCGATGTTTGCGCACTTTGCCTTGTCTTGCTGTCTTGTCTTGTTGTTGATGATTGATACTGACACTCGCTTTTTCCTTTGTATGGACTGGTCATAGAGCCTAGCCTGCTATTTGCTGATTTTCGCTTTTTTCATTGTGGATTTAAATTTGATTTTGAGATACCCCTACCTGAATACATACAGATATACAGATATACAGATACAGATAAAGATACAGTTCACACGAACATAATTGTTTACTCTCCTTAATTTTCTTGATTAGGTTGTTTTTATTGATCTTGAAGTTGCATTTAGCGAATTATTATTATTCATACACGCATCTGTCAGCCCTATAGGCCGAGTGGCGGCAAGCATTTAGCGAATATAGGACCTTTTGGCTGCGCAGTCGAATGGACGGAGGACACGAACCGGCACAAAAGGCAGCGTATGGCTTCTATGACCTGGACGAGTCTTCAAATAACGAACAACTAGTTTTTATCCGCCGTTGATCGATTCGAATTCGTCGCCAGACATTCCCCCTTCTGACGAGCTTTGTAATACTCATAACTAGACCTCACACTCCACGGCAAACGGCTCTCCTTACTTTTCCGCTCGAGCAACTCGAACGAAACCACACATTTATTTATGACACTACCTGTATTCGTATCCTTCTTCAAGGTGACGCTCATGCTGTGTCGCTCGCGAATGTCACCGGATACAAAGCTGCCAGCGTCTTCGAATCGCAGGAGTCGATTTCTGTCGCTGTCGTACATGGTGTACATGGCTGTGGGGGGTTTAGCGGCGAGGAGTCTGAGGAGGTTTAGGTATGTGTCTTCATCGGTCCAGATGGTTGGATCTGGTGGTGTTGTGTCCTCTTCATGGCTGTTGTTGTCCTCCCCTTCTTCCTCATCGTTTTCTTCTTCGTCATTTTCTTCCCCATCGCCTTCATCCACTTCCTCGTCATCATAATCACCATTATCACTCCCTTCTTCTTCCACCACAGGTACAAGAAACGGCCGAAGAACCTCAATCCATTCCTGCCATTCCCCCCACTCCTCCCCCCACTTCACAGACCGCAGAAACATAGCATTATGCCGTCCAATACCAATAAAGAACACCGGGATAGCACCGAGTGTCTCAAAGACAAACATATTCAGCCCATAGAATACCCGCCGTCCCTCCTCATACGTCTGGCGGCTCACGGCTAGCATAGCGAGTGCGTTTCGATGGGGGTTATGCTGGAGACATACGCCGTTTCGCTCTCTACCGGTGGTCGAGGGGCGGGTGGGCTTGTGGATTGTGATTTGGGTGTAGTGGAGGAGTTCTTTGTAGATTAATTGTCGGATGTCTGATGTTATACAGTGGAGTTAGCACGGGCACAATTAGGGTTGATCCGGTAAAGTGGAGCAGAATGGAAGAAGTGGAGTGTCACCGACCAAAGGGAAGACGGAGAAACGCAAACGGCCCCTTTCGCTGTGGGACTTTAACCAATTCCTCGTCAAAAGGTAATATCCACGTTTCTAGGTATCCTCGCTTCCTCTTCCCCGTACTCCTAGTTGTCGTAGTCCCCGAATCACCCTTGCCGTCTCCATGACCACTGCCATCCCCGTAAGGCCCGTAATGCATTCGATAAACGACATGCTCCATGAACGCCCTCCGAGAATTAATGATCTTTGCACATGATGGACATCGATATTGATTCTGTTGATCTGGATCGGGAGGATTAAGGATTTGGTCGATGCTCAGGACGTCGTGGATGCCGTCGGCTGGGAAGCGCCATTCGCCGGTGTACCAGTCTAGATGGTTGCGGAGGCCGGTTTTGTTGACGTATTTCTTTTGGCAGAAAGGGCATGTTTGGCATTTCCAGGGCATTTGGTTGACCCCTGTGGGTATTGTGGTTGGTTATGTTGAGGTTTGTAGACGTGACGCGTGTTTTGGTAGTAGTAGTCAGGTCCTGTCATGTGATTTACCAAACAATGAGTATATCTTTTCTTCTAATTCAACCACTTCATGCAAATACTGTCTTCTGTGGATCAGGCTATGGCAAGGAACGGCATCGACGATACTATTGTATTCTGTGTCTGTAGATGGATGAGGGTGGATCTCCTCTATCCGGCAGTTGTGTGTGGGCTCGCTAGTGCGGGCCAATCAGGAGCGGGGCATATTAGAGCCTGAGGCTCTCAAACATCTTCTAAATGAAAAGAAACCCAGCCTAATAAAATGGAAACACATCATCAAGGTAATTGAGGGTCATGTGCAATATTCTATACGGCGGCAAAGACAAAAGACATGAACCGGGGACGAAGACTGTTATTCATCGCCAAAGACGTTTTGTGCTCACTATTCGAAACAATAGCTCTTGTTCTAGTTAGAAGAAGCAGCCCGATACTCATCTGTTCCACGAGCCATAGAATAATCACCACACTCAACAATCCTCGACCTTCGTAACTATCCGTTCAACCAACTCATATGCAACCACGCCATTCCTTACACTCGCACCCGTCTCGCGTCCAAAAGTTACATACAATTTACTCCGCATTCGAACATCATCGGCCACTGGATCGCCGGCGTCTTCAAACCGCACGAGCCGCTTTCCAAAATCTGGATAGCCCTTTTTGTAGAGCGTGGCGTCGATGACGTCCAAGAAGCCTTGGAATACACCTCCGTTGGTCCAGACACCTTCACTGACAGCGTCGTTGCTATCCAAGCCCTCCTCAGGCTATTGATCCGCCGCGCGTACGGGCATCAGGAACGGTCGAAGGATGTCTATCCATTCATGGCATAACCCACCCCATTCTTTGTATTGTACAGAACGAAGGAACATGGCATTGTGACATCCAATACCGACCAGGAGTGTTGGAATACTGCTTCTGATTCTGAAAATGAATGAATTCAAGTCATAGAAAATCCGGCGTCCCTCATAGGTTTGCCGGCTGGAGCGTGTCGCATGTAATCTTGTTTAGTGTCGAATACTGTTGAGCAAAACCCGCACTTATACTGATGCAGGTGATCCAGAATCTTATTGATTTGCAGGACGTCGTGAACGCCATCGGCTGGGATGCACCATTCTCCGGTGTATGAGCCCAGATGTTTTTGAAGACCGCTTTTTCTAGCGTATTCCTTGTGGTAGAAGGGGCAAAAGTGGCCTTTACGAGCCATGACTTCTCACCCTAATTGTTGGGTTGTTTCTTGTTGAGTTTTGTAGGTGTGTTTTGTTTGTTAGTGAAGCCGGAAACGGATAGCGGGATTGGGAAGTCAATAATCCGACTGCACGAGGCTATAGCGATAGGAGAGTTTCAATACTATAAGAAGATGATATTGACTGTCTATTTACCGCCAATGGTAATAGAACAAGTGCTTAGCCAACTAACAATATAGCTACAGTGGCATCTCCTGAAGAGATTGCTGGCTCACTAAACCATCAGATATCACCTGTTACAGGCATATAAGTATGACTAAAGAATGCATGTTCCTAGAAATAGACTGAGAGGGGTTGTGAAGCATGGCCGGAGTCGCGGCTCAGTCTAAAAACGAGCGACCAGGAGGGAATAATCAAAAGACTGTTTATGGGCATAATAATGCGGAGGTACTAGTTATAGGACATCTGCAGGCCCCTCGCACGTTTCTGCTTTCCCAATTGTGATACGACAAGCACATTTCAGTGATAAGTAGCATTAATCCGGACGGATTTGATGCCGGCTCAAGGCATTGGGTATTAACCAAGCGCCAAGGTTTAGTATGGAATTAATTATATATTGTTTGATTTGACCCGTGCATAATTCATGTAAGGGCAATGTATATAAAGGCACGTCTTTCCCCAATTGCAACCGCCCATCAACTATGGCCAAATTCATTGCTATTATTGTCCTCCCCCTCGCCCTGGCGACCCCACCGGGTATTCCCTCAGTCTCAACGGCGACATCGCAACTTGCCGAATTGACCGTGAGTGCTGGATCCCAAGATGGTTACGACCGGGATTTGTTTCCTCACTGGATCACTAAAGATGGGTATGTATGGACATCCAACATCGTCGAAATATACTCATGAACAAAAAAGATGCACCACCCGCGAAACTATTTTGAAACGCGACGGCACTGATGTTGTGCAAGATGACTCTTGCATGGCTACCAGCGGAACGTGGTATTCTCCGTACGACAGCGAGACCTGGACTCAGGCCAGCGATCTGGACATCGACCATGTGGTTCCATTGGCTAATGCATGGAAGGTATAACTCATTTCTCGTTTTGATATAGCTATGCGTGCTGATGAAAAAAAGTCTGGCGCATCTGAATGGACCACTGATCAACGTGAACATTTCGCCAATGACCTGGATCATCCTCAGTTGCTGGCTGTCACAGACAATGTCAATCAGGCAAAAGGCGACGCTGGACCTGAGGAGTGGAAGCCGCCATTGGGTTAGTATTTCACGTGCATCCAAATAATTATTAGCTGACAAGTAGTAGAGTCATATCATTGTACATACGCAAGGATGTGGGTTACGGTCAAATCGGTATACAACCTGACGGTGACTGAGGAGGAGAAGACGGCATTAAAGGGCATGTTGGAGGGATGTTGATACCTCCAATCAATACCTATGTCATATATATCCGTGAATTTAGAAATAGCTGGGGTCATACTTAGCTTTTTAACTCTCATCAATTTTTCATAGCAAGTTTTCGTATTTCATACGTTAATCAACTACGGAAAGTCTTTGAGGGTACCACTTTGCTAAACTACCAGGGTGCTGTGAATACAAAAGGACAGTAGGACAGTTGACACACCGTGCATCATTGATTGGCTGTTAATTGAAAAGCCTCCCAGTGTTCGGGCCAAGTCTGATATATAGACCGCCATAGAATGCCTTAAACAGATGCTGAGCATGAACTCAGGTCTGACATATATAAGTGGCCAACAGCAAGCAACACTTCTACCAGAGAATGGGCTATTGTGTGGATAATCAATTTGGTCATAACCCCACCGGCCCCTCAATATCAGCACTACTACTCATAAAAGCCTTAACAAGGGCCTCAAAAACTAGTTGATCGTTATTTGACAGCCAGAATAGAGCAGCATGATCATCAAGGGCTCTCCATATGTCGTGTCTGTACTTCCAAACATCAGTTTCTTTTGTCTATATCCTGACAGATAAGTAGGCTTCTGATAAGCTAATAAAGCCTCTGGAGAAGGTTGCTTTCTGCCAATTCATGGAGCAACTGGGTATGAGAGTGATGGTCTAGGGGTTGAGCATTATCATGTATGTTAGTAGTGTAGACGATATGCGGGGGTGTCCGAAAGAAGTATGCCGGAGGGCATATACGAAAGGTGATCTGATAGGCAGGAAAGAGAGAATTGAATTAGGTAAAGAACTAGAATACAAGACGGCAATATGGCCGTATTTATAGATCATCGCATAAAGAAAGACTCTATCTAGAATGTTTTGTGCAATATATGATGATGGGGAGGGCTTGAATGCAAGGAGAGAACGACTATAGCCTTGGCATACAAACGGCTATATGTCAACAAAATGGACAAAGGGCAGCACTGCCTTGATGGTTCTGAGCAAAGAAGGAGGGGAAATCAGTATCTAGCCCCCTATTCTGACTCTTTAGGTCCGAAAGATTCGACTGCAGATACTCTTGATAATTAGTCTTCAGACCAGGAGCGAAGGTCTCCATAATCCACATGAATGTTCCGACCAGGAAGATAATGATACGGGCGAGAGCTGGATGTGTCGGCTGGATTCTGTGCGCCTTCAAGGTTTGAGGGAGGCTAAGAGTGATGGGCAGAGCACGACCCGGCGGCCGTAGCATTGGAGGGAAGTAGCGGAATGCAAACTCGTCGAATAATGCCTCTGCAATCATATGGCCTTTGTAGGTGCTGGCCATGTGGTGGTTCTCAAAGTCCTCGCAAAACTCGACCATGCCGTCCCAATCTGCCGGGAAGTCTGAAAGCCCCGCGAGTGGCTTCCAAATCTGGAGAGGTTTCCCAGGAGACTCCACAAGCAATAGGCGAGACATTTCTTTCCAGAAAATATAGGCTGCTTTCTTCTGCTTCTCTGTAAAGCCGGAAAGCCGTAGTCTTGACTGGAGTCGGTGGACCGAGATGGCCGTAAAGCACAGGACATAGGTATAGTCGACGTGGTGGGAAAAGACTCCAGGATGTGCTCTGGAATAGTATTCATGTCGTTTATTGATGATGTCGACAGACTTCTTTGTTTCCTGATGGTGCGGGCCATAATACCACCATGTTGAATCATGGGACTACGTCTCATAAACCCGGTCTGTGGCCTTATGGAGGACTTTACCGTCATAATTGCGCCAGACGGCATCGGATCCCCAGTTGGAGGCAATAAAGTTGGAGAATGTCGTAGCATAAATAAAATTCTGGAAGAATTCACCGCCACCATTATACTCAATGGACAGCCTCCAAATCTTTTCATAGTCTTGCTCAGGATCTGATGATTCGATCTCCTGTTTCACCCATTCGAAGGGCTTATCACCACCCTCACTCGTTGTGGTCTGAGACGTAGCGGAGGCCATTGTATTCCGGGGCCGGGCATAGCTTCGGAACCTTGGATTTCTCGCTTAATAAGGTGGAATGGCAATTATTCATGGTAAAGCTTTACTGATCTCGTCAACATCTAGAAAACTTAATCAGGATCAGCCTTCCGATGCTTCCCCAAACCAATCGTAGCTGACTTCACAACTAACGAGCGTTCCACCGGTCTATGTCAGAAAAAAGATGCTTTTAAAGCCTCAAGAAATTGTATTTCTATATAACATTTGACAGGAAATGAGATACCCTAGCTACCAAACACCTGTTGACAATCTGTAATTCTGGCTGTATAGGATACTGTGCCTGGTCGTGGCCCGTAATGCAGACAATTCATCTCATTCCTTGACATTTAGCCGGCCATAGTCTATCTATATCATGCTTCAGGCGAGGAGATCCTCTTATCTACGCAAAGACAACATTGTTCCGCAACGTTCCAATCTGCGAGATCTGTACATCCATCTGGGTCCCTGGGATCAGCCACTTCGGGGGCGTGAGGCCCGCGCCAACACCTGCGCTTCAGTCAGCTTTGTTATTGTTCACCATGCATACTTCTAAGCGGAATAGTCGAGCATACCCCCAGGTGTTCCCGTCATGATAACGCTCCCCTTCTGCAGTGTTGTCCCCTGCGACAGGTACGAGATCAAGTACTTGCAGTCAAACAACAGATCTCCTACAGACTCCTCCTGGCGCACCTCTCCATCGACAATGGTTTTCAACTGTAACTGGGACGGATCGGGAATCTCTGATGCAGCGACCAGAACAGGCCCCAAGGGAGCAAATGTGTCGAAGCCTTTGGAGAAGCCCCATTGAGGGACTACGCCGGCGTACGCGGGATCGCGTTGGAGTTTGCGAGACGAGATGTCATTGCCGACTGTGTAGGCCGAGACATAGTCGAGAGCGGACTCGACGGGGACGTCTTTAGCATCTTTGCCGATCACCAAGCACTGGGGCGCGTTTACATCATGAGCAAAGGTGTATTCAGACAGCCAAGGCAGGGGACATATCTACCAATTCTCCCTCATAGTCCGCCTGATCATTCTGCGCAATCTTTGGAATGACGACTGGCTCACCGTGATCATGGACACAGGTGTTTGGCTTGAAGAAGATGAAAGGAAATGGCGGCGGCTTGCGTCCGGCTTCCCGTACTATTTTGAAGGTACTCGGTGGTTAGACAAAGCTTCAGAACATGAGGGTGGGAAAATCGGAAGACTAGTACGAACTGTGCTTAGCGTAATTGAGGCCCACACAACGCAAAATGGGAATATCGCTTTGTGCAAGTGGCGATAGGATCCGTTCCACAGTCACGACCTCGCCCGTCACCTGGGTCGTGCCAGTAACGTCGTAGATATCACTTCCACTGATCACTCTGGCTTGAAGCTGATCAGCGTTGGCAGTGAGCCCCAAATCAACTTCTTCATCGGCTGGCAAGATTGGCTCGCCGCGCAGAATCCGGCCACCGAGGGCCCGGAATCGAATTAAACGTTTCCAGGGGAGAGACATTTGGAAAGCCGCAAATGCAAGTAAGAGTGTCGAGTATGCAATGAACAGACAGAGGTAGATTCAAGTAATAGTTAAGTGAATAAGAACCGTTAGTCATTCCTGCCATCATTTCGAGGGTACTACGCGGAGTGGTCGGGAAGGTTGCCGGGGAAGGAACGGAAAGTGGCGGTAATCGCCGTGGATAGGAACTTGGCTCCAAAACGAGGTCAATGCGGTTTAGCTACCGAGTACTCATGGATGTTGATAAGCCTCTCATCGGCGACGGTAAGCATGGGGTTGTGGCGGAAGGGGAGAGAAAGGGGGGTGGTGTACACTTCTTTTGTAGGGCTGGTCCTAGATGACCTGACTAAGCGGCTTTTTCATGGAATCCGAAGCTCCGCTGCCACATTATAAGTTATTGATAAGAACAGCAAAGTATCACGCTGAAGCTTAGGGGCGGATAGCCGCTTTGACAACCTGACAGAAGTTTATTTCCTTAGACATAGTTATGGTCCAGGGGACTATTTTCATTCCGCAGAGAGATCCCGTAGTTGAGAGTGATAGATACAACTATGAGACAATGTGAGTGTGCCCCGAAAGATTCTGCCCCCTGTGCGCTTGCGGAAATGATTACATGAAGCTGGGTAATTGAAAGAAACATTTCATTGCAGGCCGCATAGAAAAACAAAGGACGTGTATTGATATGCATGCAAGTAGCAGATGCCACGATCAAATTCTACGGTGCAGTGTAATTTTCATCTACCTTAGGGACCAAAGGATTTTCAGGTACATCTGTTGAGAACTTTTCATGATAGATGCATAGACGTGTTGGAGAGTACGGAAAAGAATGTTAGTACCATGGTGTGTGATTTTTTTTTTTTTTTTTTTTTTTTTTTTTTTTTTAATCGGTTCGGCATTGATCCTAGCTTTCGCCATTCCTATCAACAGTAGCCTACCAACGTTCGAATCCTGAGCCGTGCGTAAATAGATCGTCCAGCATGAACTCGCCACACTCAATACCGAATGAAGGGAAGCTGACGTTAGGGGTCGAAGTGTTCATGACTGGGAAGCCCATGTTAGATTGATCCGGCATATCCTCTGCTGTTCCACTGATTAGCCCGTGTATTTGTGTCGGTGTGCGAAGAAGCCTTACGCTGGAGACGCAGGGCAAATATTAACTCTTCAAGGTAGTATCTGCAGCGATCCACCATTCGATTGCCAGTATCCAGTTTATATAACGTTGCAACCGCGCGACTGGGATAGATGTGAATGTTGGCATATGTACTGGCAGAGCCCTTGCCCGACTGCCTGGTCCTGTGGACCCAGGTTGCTCCAATTATGACGAGTGCCGCATTGAATGCTGTAGTGAAAAAGAAATCAGACATCACTAGATGAAATACCACACCACATCTGTAACTTACTGTAGTAGAGCGAGTACCACCAAGCGCCAAGAAGTTCTCGTGGCCATCCAGAAGACGAGACAAGTTCAGAGATAATATCAATCATTCCCGTAGCTGATTCGATGCACTTCTTCATGCTACTGTACCCGATATCGTTGAGAAGCCTGTCTTCGCCGGGTTCAATCCCGGAAGCTCGCGTAGCATCTAGGAACTTAACAAGGATGGGCCGATGCAAGAGGATTTGGATGTGCAGATATCGCAGAGTCAGAATGACACGAAATTTCAATGGAAAGAGCTGCGGCTGGTCTTGCGACTGCTCTATCTCATCTCGCATTCCTTCGACGGTCACTTGTCGGAGGCATTCAGGGAGCGCCATCACCCAGGAGAAAAGTTGGTTTTCGATGCCAAGGACACGGCTAACAGTCTCACCCACCGGTAGAGGCGGACCACATCCAAGGTTCTGACCATATATTTGATCAATGATGCTGGCCATTTGTTTATACAACATTCTAGAGTGGGTTTTAGTCCTGCGTTGGGCCTTGCAGTCGGGAGAATGATGCAGCTCACATGGTGTTATTAAAGAATTGGATGCTATGGCGGACTTCGCCATGATCGGCCGTGGGAATAACCTCGGTGCTACCTTGGAAGGCTGGTAGATCGAGTTGGACATAGCAGTCTGGTATCGCAGCCGGTCGTCCAAAGGTCATGCCCAGGGTCCTGAGAGGGAGTAGTCAGAAGCGCTGGAATGATATTCAGGCAGGCGTGAGTGATGGCACCTATCTAGAACCACACATCCAAACCAAGTTCTTTTTCGTGTCTCCTGCTCCAAAGGAGGGAACGCTTTGGAGGCGTCTTTCGAATGAAGTCCGAGCTGGAGTGCAGCTTTAACGGCCAAGCCATGTATCGTCCACGCCTGAACCGATTTCTGTGTTCCCTGAAGGTACTGGCCCATGAGTAATAAATACTGTACTGTCTAGATATTAGTGGCGGGAAAAGTGTCTACGTGAGCATAGAAGGGAAATTTTACCAACTTCCAGTGTTGTCCCTCGTAAGATCTCTCCCTTGCAGAGGTCTAACGCCCGGCGATAGTATACAGCGGACTCGCTGATGCAGGTTTCAGCAGGTGAACGTCCCGAAGCCGATGTTAATTTAGCCATAGCAAGTATTATATTTAGCAAGCCTAGCCATGTACGTCTGACCCTCTTTGAATTGTTCTTTAGTTGATAGTAGGTGTCGAAGAATGTAGGTGGATGAATATAAGGGAAAAGCAGTCCAGTGTCAGCAAAATATCGATGGATGAGTGTCAAAGTCTCTTCGGAAGATGGCAATGTGAACATGTCTGACGGCCTTTCTTGCAAAACTTCAGACATATGGCCCAACGATGGCGATGGAGGACGCGTGGCGTTGGCAAATCCCCCATCATGAGTGATGTGGTCCGTTGCGGGGGAAATAATCCCCTTCTGTGTGCTTTCACTGTGTGCTACAGCGCGAGATAAATGACGCAGAAAGGCGATGTTCGATGAAGCACCTGAAGGAACATCAGCTCGGCTGAATCATTCTTTGTGGGGAAGCAGTAAGGCTCACCGAAGAATCCACAATCCTCCTCATCGGCAAATGCCACAGCCCCCATTGCATCGACGGTGTCTTCCGTGCCCGCAAAATCGGGGGGGGATGGCTCATTTCGGGGCTGTGGTTCGGTTTCTTTCAAAGGGTCGTTAGGACTTCTCCGGTTTATGTGCGATGTTAGACCAGAAAGGTCAGATTTGACTGTGATCAGATTGTCCTCAAGCGATTTGACGCGTAGTTCAAGGTCCTTCAGATAGCTGTCGACTTATGAGCCGGAAACTACTATGTAAGGGTCTACAGATAACTCTAGCTTACTCCTTCTGCACGATCACATTCGTAGCATTGACTGGTGGGGTATAGGCACAGTCGAAGCCCAAGTCTTTGCACATGCCACATTTGGGGCGGCTGCCATCGCACTGAAAGAGTGTTGATTAACGCTTATCTGATGGCATACAGAGCTAGCGGGATCCTACCTTTGACTTTCGCGTTCGGCAGGCATCGCAAGCCAGGGCCACTCGGCGACGTTTGACCGACTGATTCTGAGGAGTGGACTGATGAAGCAAAAGGTCCATGACTGTATGAATTCCGTGGCAGACGTGTGTTTAGTCGAAATCATGGGAGACAAGAGAACCGGGGACTAAGCGGAAGACGAAATAGGAGTGTGCGGGCTCCGGGGAAAGAGCGGACCGGCAGTTCCCCGAAGTCGTTAACCGGGCATCGCTAATTGCCACAAGACATACCACCCTGCTCAAGTTGCCAAGAAAATGCATAAACTATTTCATCTCGCGTACATAAATACATACAGACAGACCACTAGAAGACGGAGCTGACTTTCCACGTCCCGGCCTTTGTCCAGGCTGCGTCAATTTCCTTATCGGCATCATAGCCGTAACACCACATCTGGGTGGCAGGGTCGCTCCACTGGTTTGGGCTATGACTGAATGGGATCCCCTCTACTTCCGGTGCCATCGCGGCGTCTCGCGCCTCTTGCAGGGGCCCATCAGCAAAATGCCACAGTTGGCCGTTGAGAAGGCTAGCCTCTTGCATCTGGCCAGCGCGCTCAATGCGCACCATCTCAAAAATATCTAGTGCTTCCTGCAACTGCTCTATGGAGTCCATGTGCGATAACGAACGAGCCAGGGCTACGCCATCCTCCACTGCCATCGCAGCACCTGTTCTATAGATCAGCATACACATCAACATGAAGCGTTTTGATGGTTCATCTTACCCTGTGACATGTATGGAAGCATGGCATGAGCAGCATCGCCCAGTATGGCGAGCTTCCCTACCGTCCAACGATTGAGCAGAGAGCCGCTGAGCAAGGGCCATTTGTCAGTTTTCTCAACCATGCCGATTATTTTTGTAAGCCTGACCAGGATGAGCTTCACAAATTGTTGACCAAAGCAAGATAACCTACACTGGATCCCAGCCCTGAAATTGCGCTTTCATGTCTTCAAGTGCTCTCTGTGGATTCCAGGTGGCGGGGTCTGATGTATCAGGATGGGATAGGACCATGTTGAATGCTTGCCCGGCGCCAATTGTGTACGTCATGACGTGCCTGGAGTCTCCGATCCTTGTCTTTTAGTTAGAACCACTATCATGATATCCGGTGCCTGTTAGTGCATGAAACGTACCAGATATTCAAAGCTGGCCTTTCTAGAATCCATGACATTTCAGGATCATTTCTCATCATATTCATGTCGACTACCGCACGATAGGCGGCGAATCTGGGCTTTCTGAAAGGCATTTCTTGCCCTTCCAGCAAAACCTTCCGAGCCACCGATTTGATACCTATCAACATTTAGCTCCCCATAACACTTACCACCACGGAAAAGTACGTACCATCTGCAGCAACAACGAGGTCTCCTGAGTGTTCCGTGCCATCCGCGAGAGTTATACCGCCTTGTACAGGGTCGTAATCAACAACTCTTGCTCCTAACTTGATGCCAACGCCCATGTCAAGTGCTTTCTGGTACAGGGCCGAATGGAAATCAGCCCTATGAATCACATAATATGGAGCGTTGAAATTCTCGACAAAATCCGGCACCAGCTTTGTCTTTCCGATAACCTTGCCATTCTGCCATCTCCGGAAAGCGATGGACTCTGGCTCCGTGATGTAAGGCTTCAAATATGGCTGAAGCCCCAGTTTGAATAATACTCGGGTCGAATTAGATGGGATTTGAATACCAGCACCTACTTCACCAAGCACTGCAGTCTGTTCATAGATTGTTACTGTGTGGCCGGCTTGAATGAGGGCTATGGCCGCTGCTAGGCCTCCCAGGCCAGCCCCGACGAGTATAACGTTCAAATTCACAGGCGAGATTTTCGGCTGAGCGACATGCGAGGCAGTTTCTTTTAGCAGCTTTGCGAATTGGAGGCAGTTGCTTGGATAGCTTGGCACCTGTATGCGGCGTGTCAGCGTGTGGTATGTTTTTAGAGAAACGGCAGAGAAACTGACTGCAAGTGGTTTCTCACTGGGGGGCACACCTGGTCCTTCGAGAGAGACCATATTGTTTGCTAATAATGTGAGAGAACGACTTCAATTTGACGTTGTAGGTAGTAAGCACTGGTGTTGGAATAGTCCCAGGAAAGCTCAGTGTCAAGTGTCAGAAGTCGGCACGTGCAGATGTTCTTTATGGAAGGAAGAAGATAAACACTGCTTTCTTATATGCAGGCATAGAAGACTTACGAAAACTCACAGCAGCAGCTGGCGGAATAAGTCAGGTGAAATGGTTCGCTTGAGTAGCGTACTTCCCATTGCTGAACTAGTGTATGCTTAGGAGCCTTGAAGTCTTTACCGATCATTCCCCGTTGATGCCCGCTTCCCGACCTACCCCCAGAGCGCCAACAGAGGTCGGCCACTAGAACGTAATGGGTAACTTTTTTGCTCGTAGCTTGATCTATATATACCAAGACTGACCCATTTGGTTTACTCCGATAAGAATTAAGAGTCCTAAAGATTTTGACAAAACTGAAAGCCAACAGCATTATCTTTCGTTATGGCAGCAGCACATACCGATATTAGCGCAGACAGCGCAGAGCAGCTTCTTCAAGATCTTGAAGACAACAAGACCCTACCCCTATGGACCCAGATGGCCAGACTTAACCCACCAGAGCCAAATCCGACGGCTATCCCTTTCGTTTGGAGATATGATAGCATCCGCCCCAATCTGCTTCGCGCCGGCAATCTTGTCACTGAGAAACAGGCCGAGAGAAGAGTGTTGATGTTGGTTAATCCCACCAGAGGTATATCACCTTATACCTCTTAATGTAACTACAAGTTCATTGCAACTAACATAACAACAGACGCTCCATATACAACTGATACGCTCTATGCGGGCCTTCAGCTTGTTATGCCGAATGAGACCGCTCCAGCCCACAGACATACAGCGTTCGCGATGCGATATATTATTGAAGGCAAGGGGGGCTTTACGGCTGTCCATGGTAGAAGAATCAAGATGCAGAAAGGCGACGTGATTCTCACGCCCACCTGGAACTACCATGATCATGGAAAGGATGGAAATGGCCCGATGATCTGGCTAGACGGTCTTGATCTGCCTAATTTCCGCCACTTTCCTGTCCATTTTGTACAGCACTTCAATCAACCACGGTATCCAGCCGAGGATATTGATACGGCCACCTCGCCCGTTGTATTTCCCTGGGCCCAGATGAAGGCTCAGTTGGATGGTGTCCCGGGTAATTGGGCCACCAAACGCTACCTTAGAGCAGATGGCTGTGAAGGTACGAGCATCACTTTGGACTCATCAACACTGATGACTGACGCGGGATGAGCAGTAAGCCGTGTTTTGGGCGGCTGCGCTGAAAGGCTGGATGCTGCTACCCCTTCTGCTCCTCGTCAAGAGACTCTTTCTGCTGTCTACCATGTCATTGCAGGAAGTGGACGGTCTGAGGTAGGTGGCAAGGGCCTAGTTTGGAAAACAGGAGATACATTCTGTGTGCCTTCGTGGTACAAATATCAGCATTTTGCGGACCAGGGGGAAACTGTCTATCTCTACCGTTTCGATGATAAGCCCATGATTATGGCCCTGGGTTTCTATCGCTCGGCAGGCGATGATGTGGAGAGTTTGGTTTCAAACTAGAGTCTCATGTATTTACGATCTTGGAGAAGTAATCTAGCTACTTTAATGGAAATGTAAGCACTGTACGCCGTTCCTCGGATAATCTTAGAACTTCCAGATACTTGCGGCCTCGGATATTCTCATACATGCTATGCAGTGCACTTAATCTTCAATATTGTTTATTTAATGACGAGTTTCTCACGAGTTGCAGACCACTGCATTGCTCTCTGGGCCAACCTTGATGCCATCTGTAGCCAGAATGATCCTAGATACTTTGTTCTGGTGACATGGATTTCATGCTCAACAGTGTTCCTTAGGTAAATGAGCAGGCCATCCACAAAGGCTGTGAGCTCATCCATATAATCCATGAGTGTCTCATTGATGAAGCAAATTGGATCCTTCTTCAATCACATGGCCATGGAGGCTACGGTAACCGATGACATTGAAGATGAAAGACATGAGACGGGAGAGAAAATGACGGTATTCAAGTACGAGGACTGCTTATACTGTTTGCCCGCCAGTTATCAGTTGAATTAAAAGCCAAGTACTCCTTCCGACGAGCCTTGTAACACTCATTACCAGCTCGAACACCCGGATTAATTTCTTCTACTCCGATCTCCGCTCGATCAACTCATACGAAACCACACCTCCCTTCCTAAAAGGCTTTCCAAAAGTCACTTTCATAGTATGTCGCTTTCGAACATCACTAGGTTCCAAGTCGCCAGCATTATCGAGTCGCAGGAGCTGCTTTTGGAGGGCTTCGTAGAGGCAATGGTGACCTCTACCATTTAGGATCTCCAGGAAGACTAGGTATGCATATTGGTTTGTCCGGATATTTAACTCTTCTGGCAGGGTTGTCGTGGGCATTCCCAGGAACGTCGAAGTTTGTCGATTCACTCGTGGCGTCCCTCCCAAGACCATAGTCTGTATTTTAAAGACTGCAGGAGCATGGCGTTGTGTCGTCCAATGCCAATCAGGAATGGTGGGATACTGCTTCTGTCAAGGATAAATGTGTTTAAGCCATAGAAGATGCGCCGTCCTTCTTCATAGGTTTGCCAGTTCGCAGCTAGAATGGCCAATGGTTTGTTTGGTAGGTTATGGTGGAGTAGTGCGGCCTTTATTTCATGTCCGCGAAGGTCGTTCATTGCGATTTGGGCGTAGTAAAGGAGTTCTATGTATATTATTCGTCGGATTTCTGGATACAGTCAGTTAGTGATGCTCTATAAAGCCAGGAAAGTGTTTAATAACCATAAGGAAGACGCAGAAACGGGAATGATTTCTCTTGCAGGAGAATCATAGCCTCCTTTTTGTCAAATATGTTCCCCGTTCTCTTCCGGTTATAGCAGTTGAAGGATAGACCCAATAAAGATGTCATTGAAGGACCTTCTGCATGAAGTCGTCAAGCACTAGACTGATTCAGACGCTCAGGTTTTTTCGGATGCTGATTTTGTTGTACGCTGTAGGCATCCCTCCCCGTCATGTGATACGTAATGTTACCAAAGGTTTTTCTACGGCCCTTCATAAATAGATATGCCTTAGATAATTCCTTGAGGACGAATTGGGGCGGACAGTATACAGAGACGCAACCAAGTTTTTATGGCTCCTCACAAGACAATCAATTCTATGGAAATGTAGATAATAACTGTATGATGAATGGTGACATGCTTTTTCAAACTTCTACCGCATTTTAGGACTACTGGAAACTATGCTAATTAACCCCTAGACTACGTGAAATACATAAGGAAGACAACACATGGAACTGGGTTGCGGATATTTGGGGTAAAAATCTGACTTGAGCTGCATCGAAGTATCGCGCAAATTGTACTTCCGTGTGTAATCATATCCTAACACATTTATTAATAGTAAATGAGTCCTGATAAAACCACACCATTCAACTAATTTCTATCACTTTTGCCCAGAGGATGGTAGACATGGTGTGTGGTGTCATGTAGATATTCGTCTCCGGGTAGGCGCTGAGGCCATTGCTGGCCCGACATAGCGGTATCCTTGAAGCTTGCTGTTAGATGCTCTATATCATCTGATTCGCTTTTCATGCCACGATTTCCCTGAATGAAACTTTAGTCCATGTCACTCTATGCAGCAAAATCAGATGAGAATGACCCGACAACAGCTATGTCAGCACTGTCACTGAGCCCACACAGCTTTCGTGGCTGACTTCTGGTAAGATTTACCAAAGGGGACGGAATCAATATGGCGCCAGGACTGTAGACGTGGTGGGTAGTAAGGTGTCTGCTGTCGCTGCGAAAATCAGCTGTCAGGTGTTCTCTGGGGTCACTCCTGGTAGTATGCCAGGTCAGTTTGCTAAGTAACGTCAGTTTCATTCATGCTATGTGACTAAACAGAGCTCTTACGCTGAAGTCCCCGAAGTCATGTCATTGTAGTGTTGTATGCCCTTACACAATCTAGAGTTTTTTGACGCCCTGTATCTTCTCTACTATTCCTCTCTTTCTACTTACCAGCACCACTTCCCCAGCAACATTGGCGATGACTAGACGCCGCATCTAAGAAGGTCGTGAGTCTCACTATCATGGGCTCCGTCCTGTTCACCTGAGAGATGTGTTTTATGGACATTATCAAGTCCCCAGGAAGCTTGGCTACGGTTTGTACTCTACCGTATGGTTAGTGAAAGATCAAAGGTGAGACTCATGCGTTAATACACTCCCTAAACGTATGTTTCCTTGCTAACCAACAAGAAGCTGCGGCAGTTACAGAGCGTTGAAAGTCCTCAGTGCGGAATGCTACGGTGCAGAGAAAGACATTTGAATTAGAGATCCTCAAACGCTTGCAAGATTCCAATCCTGCTCATCCGAGATATAGATATACCCCAAGATTGCTTGATTCCTTCGAGCACGTTGGACCGAATGGACGCCACGTATGCCTTGTCTTTGAACCTCTGGTGGAGAGTTTTGCAAGCTTCGGTACATTGTTCCTTAAATGTCAGGTGCTGAACCCCCTCATGCAGCATTTTGCTAAGCAGATTCTCCTCACTCTGGACTATGCACGTGAATGCAATACCATCCATACGGGTAAGCGCCCAGATCGTTGGTTTGGAGTTGAGTACTGAACGGGGGATAATGGCGCATAGATATCAAGCCCCAAAACATCATGGTCCAAATCCCCTACCTCTCATACATTGATGATTACCCGAAGGCGACATCTGCTGATCCTGCTGCTTATGATTCTGCCTCTGATCCATCTGCTATTGTCTTTCAACCACTTAAACACTTTTATATCCATGAATCCACTGACTTGATGTCCCTCAGCATCACTCTGTGTGATTGGGGCTCTGCCAGCTGGACGGATAATCACCTTACACCGCTCATCCAACCCGTGTTACTTTGAGCACCAGAAGTGATTCTTGGAGCTCCATGGGGGTCTTCGACTGATATCTGGAACCTTGGGGCCATCCACTCAAGATTCTTGATGCAGTACACATGTTTGAGGGTCGATCACTGAAAGATGGATCTTACTTTGGTGGCGAAATACTTCAACTAGAGTTGCATTCGGCGCGGTTTGGCGCGGATGGAGGGTGCCCTCCATCCACGCCGCGTGGATTTTGGATGCTCAGGCTTGGATCCGCATCCGCGCCAAAATCCGCGTGGATTGGCGCGGATTAAGCCGCAAAAGCCGCAAGATTCCGCGCTATGCCTATTTAGGCATACACTAAACTAACTGCAGTTAAAGTCGGATTGGATTGGATTCGGATTCTCCAAAGTCCAAGCCGCAATGTAATCCATGACAGACATACAACAGCATCAAGAATTGACTATTATCAATGCTCCATTACATTTGTATCATCTATATCA